TGTTTGTCGGAATCTAGAAGACAACGACGTGCTGCGTCAACACTTACCAATTGCTGTGAGCACGCACGGCGAAAATCCACACCGACGGAACCGTGGTACGAAGATAAGAAGGAGAGCAGTGTGGACTCGCCCTTACACTAACACTCTTACACAATAACACCTTCACATCTGCACATAGATTTGAATCAGGTTGTTATTTTTCTATTTAATTTTGTATCGGTCTTTTTTTTCTCTTAAGGGGTTCTCTTGCAAGAGCTTTCTTGTTTAAGATACAGATTATATTTTTATAAGTGGCTCGTAAAAAGTGTTTATCATTTAGTTTCACCCATTTCATCCGTTGTAAATTAACGTAGATATTATATATTTTTTTGTATTTCGTACTTGCTTTGCGGTTCCCCTGTTAATATCTTAGTCACAAATCAGATAGCTTCATCACTTTGACGCAGTCATTAGGGTGGCATAAGATCCCTATGCCACAATTCAGCCCAGTATGAGGGCCAGCTTTGGATGCCTAATTGGTAGGCAGCCGACCCGGCCGAAAGAGCACCATAGTAACAAGCCTCAATCTTACTGCATCGGCAGCCATGCTAGAATCAACGGGGGCAGTGTGGCTGCTAACGGTGGCCCAAACAGTTGCCGAAACAAAATTTCTGATCAGGGCAGTTTACTCAAAAAAATTAGTTGTTTTTTAAATACAGTTCACACAAGTACACCAATTTATGTGATTAATTAACAACTTTAACATTCTTTACTGCTGATGTACACAAGAAATATCACACACAATTTTGACAGCAACTTGTACTTAATGTAAAATCCGAGAGATCAGCAGTTTTAACTATAAATTACTGTAAAATTATTGCACCATGACTGTGCTCTTTTTAGTCAATGGTAACTAGCTTCAGCTCTGATTAGTCGTTCGGATTCACAATTTGACGCGTCGTCCTTAAACGCAAGAATATACAAACTCCTCGCACATAACAGTGTTTACATTTTCTTTTTCATCAAGTGCTCCAAAATAACTATAATGATTATACAGTGAATTCTGTTGCGTCTTTTAAGCGCATGTAAGACTTAGTTCGGTGACAAAGCTGTAAAAGAGAAGCTTTAGCAAACCAGGTCATTGTTAACTCACCTCAAAAGTGAATTAAGGAAAAACAAAAAAGAAAGGACCGTCAACTTGGGTTCCGACGTTAAAAGCGGAGACCTAATTATTGTCATCGCCACAAGTGCTCTCGTGTAGGATTAGGAACATCGTTGCAGTCAACCTTGTAAGATTTTGCGACCGCGTGCGCGCAAGCAGCGGCTGACAAACGATCATAGATGTAAGTTAAGTAAAGGAAACTATAAACTGTATGACATTATATTGCGAATCCAAAACTTTTTGTATTAATACTATTTGTAAAATTAACGTTTCTGGCTTTTCTCAATTTATTAAATTATGAGATACGACATAACTTGGTTGTTGGGTAAATTAATTTTTTCTGATTTAAAAATGTTTTAATTAATAAATTACATGAAACATTTCAGGATCTAATAACACTTATAGATTGGCACACTTCTTACCTTAATGAATAAATTGAATATCGAGGAAAAATAAAATAGACAATAGACACTGTGTCACGAAGACCTCAACAAGTACATGAGATAAGAAAACGAATAGGATACGCTACTACCGTATGACATAAGACATAAACTCAAGTCAACGCCAGCTCAACGTACACCACTCCATACATATCTCTTGGTGAAACCTAACTCTACAACACTGAGCCAACAACTTTAAAAGAACGTATACTGTAAGTGGAAGCAAATAAGGCCTTTGGGACAATGGTTGATTCCTAATAAACAAAAATAAAAATTATTTGTTCGTAGAACAAATCTACAAGTTCCACCCTTCACTTATAGAAGTTCGGACGTTACAAATTGTCATTCCTCGTGGAGAACTAAGCCTTTGATTTTACTTTGGTCAAGCTGTCTTACACACACCAATATAAAGTGGTCAAAATACACCCCTCAGAGGTTTTTCACAAGATGTTGAAAATGGTAAATCCTTTATTTCAAATGTGGAGGAGCGTATGTTTTCATGAACAGTCATTTCCAGGCTAAAGGGTGAAGCAGAAAGTTGTCTAGACTGATTAACAATAAATAAATTAGACAATCTTATAAATTGGTCAAAGGCATACTTTGCTTCTTCTAAAACTTATGCTGAATACATCCTTAACATTAATAATTTTTAAATGAAACAGGGAGAAGATGTCCACGATTCTTCCGAGAGAATTTCTCAACATATTAATTAAAGTGCTAGAGCAGCTAAAATAAAGGCCGTTCCCAACAACATTTCTGAAAACAAACAGCCTCCTTCCAGATTATATCTAGAAATAGTTGGCCATGAAGCATTCATGCAAGGCCTACCCAATGGATTCAAGACCAACATGATGTTAAACTTACCAAAAACGTTTGCCGTGTTTTACAAGTATCTTTAGAAGCAGAAAAAGTTGGAAAAATATTATACCCTAATACTTACGCTACCATGTACCATCATAATTCACATATATACCTTGCTTAGCAGTTACACCCTACAGCAAGACAAAATTCATCAGTACACCAACAAAACAGACAAGAAAATTTCACATATTTTCAGTCCAATTAAAACAATATACAATAAGTTGACTATAACGATTCCAACATGTACAATCGTGATAATATATCTTATAATTTATCGGGTAGGCCCTGCATGAATGCTTCATGGCCAACCATTTCTAGATATAATCTGGAATTAGGCAGTTGATTTTCAGGTATGTTGTTAGAAATGGCCTCTATTGTAGCTGCTCTAGCACCTTGATTAATAAATTGGGATATTCTCTCATGAAAATCGTATTTCAACCCTAATGACACAAAAACTTTTTCGACTACATTTAATTCAGATGGAAAAATAGTATTACACCCACCTCTTCGATATAAAAATAATGATTCTCATAATCAATCAGTAAAATTGTTGCAAAAATCGAATAAAATGCAATCTTACCAGCCTTTGAATGATTTGTAAAAAAACCATCAAAATTTTGGCTCCACACAACCAACGCAGCATCAAAACCAATTATTAGCCTATTTGAATAGCTCCTTCCGCAAAAACTTACTGCAGCGTATATTGGTAACTCGTCTATTTCTCCAATGGGAAATTATCCCTGCACTTGTAAAAACGTTTAGATACCACGTGAATTACGAAACGACACGAGCTTTCGCTCAAGGTCGTACTCTTTTAATAATCGGCTAAATTTTAGACCCAGTTCTCCTAAACCAGGCCATTCTTTAAACGGGAACGGTGATCGTCGCCCAGACGCAGCGGCGAGCGAAGACCTGAATCAGCGTCCACTGATGAACCAATTTGTGCAATCGCCTGAGTGTCCGTTGCAAGAAACATCGGCAATGCACTGACAGTAAGACTTAAAATTCCATAATTAAATGAAAGTTAAGATATTTATATAATAGGTACAGGATCTATAGTAAATCCTATTGAAATATCTTTATTGCTACCAAATGTTGTTATAAATACTAATACAAAAATTACTCTTATGTGATTAACTTTTTGAAATATCATAATATTAGGAATAGTAACGCTGAACATATTTGATAAAAATCAAGTTTTTCACGTCTTAGCACAAGAAACACCCCCCAGTGAGACAGGAATATAAGAAAATTTATTTCTAGCTGACAAACCAGCCAGGTTTTGTCATAACACAAGAGCGTCGATACTGAAAAGAAGACCTTTAAGTCACATTCTATTTATAGAAAGAATTATTACAATAAGCAACAAACATCGTAGACTTGAATTGCTTGATACAACGAAACAATATATAAGTGATGAAAATAATTTTCACGAGACTATATGGGGACACGGATGAAAAGCATGTTGAAAATTTAGTGAAAGTTTGTATGCGTTTAGAGGAATGCGGGTTGCGACTTAATAGATTAAAATGTGAGTATTTTAAAGCGAGTATCGAGGTGCTAGATTTTAAGATTGATGAGCGTAGGCTACATAAGGCTAAATCAAAGGTCAAGGCCATGGTGGAAGCGCCTAAGCCTGTAAATTCAAAGCAATTGCTTGCATTTTTTGGGTTAATTAATTTTTATGCTCGATTTTTGCCGAATCGTTCCGAAAATCTCAAAGCCTTGTACGAATGTACAAACAATACAGACTTTAAATGGAATGCAGAGTGTGACAAGGCGTTTGAATGGGTCAAGAGAGAGATATGATATCACCGCGCGTCTTGGCTCATTATAATCCACGTGAGAAAATTGTACTCGCATGCGATGCTTCTGCGTACGGTCTGTCAGCTATACTGTCTCATTGGTATAAGGATGGTAGCAAGCGTCTGATCGCATACGCGTCAAAAAAAATTCTGAAACAAGAAATCAGTAGGGCGATAATTGATAAGGAAGCTAGTGCGATAGTATTCGGGTTCAAGAAATTCTACGATTTTATTTACGGCAAGGAAATTATTCTTAAAACAGATCAAAAGCCGCTAGAGTACATACTAGGAAAAAAAAAAGGCATTCCACTTACTGCGACTAGCAGGCTACGAAGATGGTCTTATTTTCTGTCAGGATTTAAGTATACAATTGAGCTTATTAAATCAAAAAAAAATGGTAATTGTGACGCTCTTTCCAGGCTTCCGGTGCAAGACGATCTGAATATTTTTAAGGCGGATTTCACTCCGATTTACTCCATTAGGAGAGGCCTTGAGAGAGTTGACTGTATCGAAATTGCGAAAGAAACCAAAAATGATACTGTTTTAAGTAAAATTATGAGATACTGCACTTTAGGTTAGCCGGAAAACAGTGAATTATCACAAATAGAAAAGAAATTTTTTACTAGACGAATCGAATTAGCAATAGAAGAGGGTTGCCTTTTGTGGGGAAACAGGATTATTATTCCTGAAAGGCTGCAAGACGTGGTATTGTGCGAATTTTATTTATTTCATATGGGAATGGTTAAGATAAAAATGTTAGCCAAGTCTTATGTGTGGTGGCCGGGTACGGACGGCGACATTAATGTAATGATAAAATCGTTTGGAATTTGTTTGGAAGAGCGAAAAAAACCAGCTCACACTGTTTTAACACCTTGGCCATGGCCGGAGAAAGTTTGGAGCCGTGTGTATGCTGATTTTTTGGGGCCGTTTTATGGTAGCATGTACCTTGTTGTGTCAGATGCGCACTTCAAATGGCCAGAAATGATTGACCTTAAACAAAATACGAAGGCCACTAATTTAGTGATTGAAATTAAAAAGTTATTTGCTAGATACGGTTATCCATTCCACTTGGTAACGGACAATGGTCCACAGTTTAGGAGCAAGGAATTTGTTATGTTTCTTAAGCAGAGTGGCGTAAAGCATACTTTCTCTCCTCCTTATCACCCAGCAACAAATGGTGCGGCTGAAAATTTAGTTAATACTTTTAAACATAAGGTCGAAAAGATTGTGAAAGAAGGAGAGACACTGCAAGACGCAATTAACATATTTTAAATGGATTACCGTAGTACGCCACACTGTACAACAGGACGCAGTCCTATCTCACTTTTTTGTAGACGTGAAATGAGAACACGATTCGATTTGATGAGGCCTAGGATAGCAGACACCGTGTTTGAAAGACAACAAGCTCAGATTGCGGCGCGTAAGAGCGATAGCAAGGTCATCCTCCAGGAGGGTGACTCGGTCTTGGTAGACAATTACGGGGTTGCAGGTGGTAAAAGAGTCGAAGCTAAGATTGAAAAACAAATAACACCTTCGACGTATGAAGTTAGGTTAGCACCGGGCGTTGTACGTAAGGGACACGTAGATTAGTTAATTCAGATGGGGAGTGATTTGCCTTTTCCCCGACGCTCGCCCCGTCTGGCTGTCAAATCGGCCTGAGTGTGAAACTCGAGGTGACACTTATCTTAAAATGAGGGAGGAGTGTAATGTATATGTATGTGAGTCACACGCGTACAGTTCCGAGCGCCGATTATATTAGTTGAGCACCTAATGTTCGGCAGTCTCTGCCCTGCTCTGTATACGAATACACGGTATGTGTAGTCTTTATTGTTATTTCATTATCGGGGCTCATCGTGCAGCCAGGAAGGAAAATAGTATCAAATTACTATTGATTTATGAGTCCATTTCTAACTTTTGGGATGTATGGCGTGTGAGCATCAAACTCCGTGTTTTTATTATAGGTCTAGTCTTAGATAATTCGGGTGTTTTTTTGTTTCCCTTCAATTTTGACATAAAGTTCAGTCAGTTCGTGTTTTTTTGGGTCTTGTTTTATTGTTACTCGGGGTTCTGCGTTTAGTGAGTTGATGGTGCGTTTTATAAATTTTTTCAAGATACTATGTTTCATAGTCTTCTTGAAACAGCTTCTTGTTTTTTTGATGAGTATTGCTATTATAATAATAATAATAATAATAATAGCTTCAATGATGTTACATATTTAAATAAAAATACAAGTTTGTTTCTCCTGCAACTTTCAGGTTCGTACTTTTTACACTTGATTGATTGTATTTTGTATGTTTAATTCTTTATCTATCCATGCTTGTTTATTAAGGTTTAGTCCTCGAATCAAATTTATAGCATCGTGTAAGTCATTAGTGTCTTCTAAGGGTTTATGTGGTACAGTTAAGTTTAAGTTTACTTCTACTTCATAGGTATGTTGCATCTGAGTGATAATCTTATGTTCACTGGTTAAGGTTAGTTTGTGTGTTTTTCCCGTACATTCATTATTTATTTGTAAAAGACCTATACCTTTTAATCTTTTTTGTCGATCCATTTTATTAGGACAGATAATGGTAAATTGTTTCTCGTTAGGTGTCAAGAATAACCATGAACTATCAGCTAGTAAGTAAATCCAGTGGCTTGGTTTTTAGCGTAAGCATAATTTCACAGTATTTAAATACTTCTCTTCCAGGTCCTCATAACATTATAATTTCACATTCGTTTATAGAATAGAGTTGTTTCAACGGTTCCATAGCCAAGCATATATAACCGTATGCTGTTTTATCACATTAGTTGAATGTAACTTCGATGAATCGTAAATACGAATTATGTGCTGCTGCTACTGGTAAGTACGAATATGATGGTTTTATATAGGTGGATCCATTTTGTCCAGGTTGAGGTATCATGACTGGATGTCGTCTATAAAGATTGTAAGGGGTTCGATCTACAAGTGGCAAATGCAATATTACCATGGTTCTATTTTCTTGATGCACAACATCTAATTTGCTTAGAGCGCTTATTTCACCAGAATAAAGATTCTCCATTTGTAGTACAAATTCTAGATTTTCTTTAAGGTTCTTGACATTCTGGGCTACAGCTCAAAAAATATTTGGAGAAAATAGCGTTGGATGTGCTTGACGTCTTTGTAGATTTTGCAAGATGTCGATCAGATCCTCATGAGAACGAATGATGTGATCTAAGTTAGCCTCTGTTCTCCTAAGGTAAGCTGATAAATATATCAGACATCTGTCGAAAATGAAATCTTGTCCGAAGTCAATGTATCAGCAACTTGTTTTAGAATATGCACATGGCGTTTCGTAGTAATATATAGTTCTGTAAATGCAGCCGCTAAAATATGGCTATTTTGTTCGTACAATTTAATATAGTCTTTTTGATTGGTATGCGAATTGTTGATGTTAGTGTTCATAACGTTAATATCGTCTTCTGTGACTAAACTAAAAAGTCCTTTAGCAATATTTCCAATAGTTCCAAAAGGTGTTAGTCTTTTTATTCAGATGCTTGGTAGTGGAATAATGTTATCTTCCACACGAGCTCCCACAGTATTTATTAAGTTCAATAATGTTTCTTCAAAATTTGTCAATAGTTTTATCTTTATATTCAAGAGGTCTATTTCTATGTAATGAGTGCAGTTAGGATAACCAAACGGTACACTACAATATCGAAAGGTTTCATTTAATCCTTAAGTAGGTGTGTGTTCCAATATAAATTTATGAATATCAAGCCATATCACTTTCTTCTAATCAGCTCTCTTAATTTTTGTAATAACAATTCGTTCATAGTATATTTCAGGGTTCGTTTCAAGTGCTTTTATGCTATAGTTGCCATGAATAGCATAGTTGAACTCTGCGCAACCTCTAAGCACTATTGTCATTAAGGTGGCCAATACAATCTGCATTGTTGTGTTTTTTTCTTTCTGGAAGACATATAGAATATAATTCTTACAAGTATACTATTATTGGCGAACTAGTTTCAATTTATCTTGATGTCTTCGTATGACTTCTGCATTGGTTTTTTCAAGTAACACATTACTTTCGTCTAAAACTGTTTTAACCTTTGGAGGATTATTATAATAGCGATCAAATTCATAGAAACGTACTTCTTTGTTGACCCAAACGTTTTCTCCTGGTTTAACATTTAGAGGCTTAAATTTTTTATCGTACCTTGTTTTTGCTTGTATTTTCATTTTTATTTGTTGGTTTCCTACCACAATTTACATTTCTTGAAGTCGCTTAATAAGATCTTGCAAGTAAAATGGGTAGGTTCGTAATTTTTTATCTTCAGGTATCTTCAAGGGCAACCTAGCTAGTCTCCCAAATAATAATTCATAAGAAGTAAAATTTGTTGCTGCATGTACACTCATGTTGTACGTGATAGCTGCAAATTTGGCTAAATTGTCCCAGTCATCATGAGTTTCAGAGTAAGTTCCTATAAAGTCAGCTAGGGCAGCATGACTTCGCTCTAGTAATCCGTTTGTTTGAGAATGATATGCTGATGTAGAGAGATGATTGGTTTTTAGAGTTCTCATGAGTTGTTCCAATAAATTAGACGTAAATGTAGCATGTCAGTCTGATAGAATTGCTCTAGGCACGCCGTAAATTAATATTAGATTTTGTACGAGTGCATCCGCAAGCGTGCTTAATCTTAGGTCTGGTACAGGGACTAATATGAGGTACTTAGTCAAATTACTCTGTAGAGTTAGTAAGTGGCAGTTAGCATGTGTTGTTATTCTTAATTTACCAAAGGTTTTAATGGAAACTTTATCAAAAGCTTCAATAGACGTATCTGTAAACACCAAGGGTTCTCTTGTTCTTATTCGCTAAATTTTTTTCTCTTGACATTAGCTGCATTTGCAAAAATAATTAAAAATATTATTTTTCATTTCAGGCCAACAAAATCGCTCTCTTATTTCTCGATAAGCTTGGCTCATTCCCTTATGTCCTTCAACAGGGCTGTCATGTAGTGTTTTTATTATTCAATTACGTTCTTGAATTCTTTAGAAAATCGACCTTACCATAACAAACAGTAATTTGTATAGGTGTTTTATCAAAAATTGTTAATAACATTTCTGTTAATAATCCAGGTTCTTCTTTGTCTGTAAGATCTTCCCTCCTTGAAATTCGGAGAGTTTTAAGATTTCGTCTCAACAGTATTTTCTTAAGTGATTTAAAAGCTTTTGCAAGATCTTTTGAAGTAACTAAATCGGTAGACGTCTCATTAAGAAACGATTGACAGTATATTATCTTCTTCGTAAGGTGTTATCAGTATGTGGCCAACCTTTGGTTTCTTGGATTTCAAATGACTAAGGTTTAGTGCACCTATTGATCTCAAGAGCCTTGAGACAGATGTGACTGGTTGACAATCTTCGCCAATAAAATGAACTATATTGTCTCTTTTGAATGTAAGACAATATCTAGTGGTAGTAATATTATTCATTAGCTCTATTTGTGTTCCTGTAATTGTCAGTTCTACTGCTACTATCACTCTGCCTTACATACACCTTTCCGTACTGTTGTTTTTATCGATTGATAGATGACAAAGGGTAAAAGTCCGATAAAAGCATGAAATGAGGTGCATTACCTCGACTTGTTGATTTGTTTCTATTGCAATTTATTTGTTTGTCGTTTTCACTCAAGTTATCTGGGGTTACTCCTGTTATTTTTTTTAAGTTCAGTGCTTTAGACCGTCTGTTTTTTGCAATAATAGAAGTACTTGTGTGCGTTGGTGTACTAGAACTTGAAAATATCTTTTCCTGCATGCGAGGTGTGATTTATAATTTCACACTCGTCATGTATTTTCTCAAAATTTCATCTTCGTCAAATAGGGGTTCAAAGTCCGTTTTACGTCTTGATAAAACTGTAATTTTTTCATCTAATACAGAATCATTAAAATTATTAGGATCATAGATGTCGATTTCAGTTAATATGTCTTCAATTTTGGGGTCCAGCTTAATTCCAACAGAAAAACTTGTTACTGATAAGAGATCTGTATCAGCTTGCTCAGTTTTATCATCGTTGCTAGACTTGTCCAACTATTCTTGAAGGCTTCAGTTGAGGTTCTTTGTTAACTTTTTTATTTCTTGATGGGTAACCTCATCAATATTAATGATCATAGTTTTAGGTTGGTCTTCAAAGACGTTGTCATTTGAACCTTCACTGAGTGAAATGGCTGTAACGGAGATTTCAAAATTTTTTGCGTCTGAGTCTGAGTCAGTACCTGTATTTAAGTCTGCTTCCCTTTCAGTTAATTTTTGCCGTAATCCACTTTGTCTAGGGTCATATACAGGTGGTTGTGTATTTTCTTTTGACGATTCTTCAGTATCACTTGGATCGTTTTCAGAAAACGTACTTGTCCTTGACGATGCACCAAGGTAACTTATATCTCTGACTAGTAACTGTGGCATTTCCTCATTTGTGGAGCTACTAGATTTCATTTCAGTGGTTTCTGCATTCGTATCGCTAATGTGTGATGTCAAGGCTATTGATTTCGAAAAATTCACTTTTAATGAGCTAGAATCTTTTGAGGTATTTTTAGGGAAATTTCTTAATATACTTGGTCAAGATGCAGATGATGTCTGTAGTTGTAGAAATATTTTCGTTAGAGTCCTTTGAGCAATCACACTATGATTTAACTTTGGCCGTTCCTTATTTGTTTTTGAGCCAAGGGGTCGTCCCGGACCTCTGGTCAATTAAGGTACATCCGTTTCTGATTTAGCCACTCTCCTAGGTTTTGTTCGCCGTCTCTTTCAAGGTTTTTGGTAGTCTTTTAGGTTTGATCATCGTTAAATAAGATGTTCTTACTGTTCCTTTTCTCTGATTTTGTAACTCTGATTTTCTTCTACTCCTCTATTTTCTTTCGACCTATCATCATAACTCTTAGTAATCCATTGTTTATACTGTTTTCCGCATAAAGAAATGATCCTATCAGATTTCTAGATAGTGCATCAGCATTGGTATTAAGTTTTTCTGGTTTGTATTTGAAAGTGTATTCATAATCGGTGAATTTAAACATTCAGTGAATTAAACGCTGACCTGGATCTTTTTTTGTATACATCCTATTTAATGGCTCATGATCAGCTACAAAAACGAATTTATTTTCTTATAAATATAAACGAAAATGATGCATTGCATATAGTGCAGCTAAGTATTCCTTTTTAGTCGTAGAATAATTTATTTCAGCTTTATTTAGGGTTCTTGAAAGATAGGCGACAGGATGGTCAAACTCATCTTTTTCTTGACCTAGTACCGCTCCAATAGTGTAGTCAGATGCATCTGTTGTTAACTTGAACGATTTACTAGAGTCGGGAAATTGTAAAATAGGCTCTTGACATAGATGGTCTTTTAGTATTTGAAAGCTCTTTTTTTGCACTTCTGTCTATTCAAATTTTCCTTTTTTTTTTAATAAATCTGATAATGGCTTAGCTATTTTTGAAAAATCTTTAATAAAGCGTCTATTGTATCCTGCTAGTCCTAAGAATTGTCTAATATTTTTCATAGTTTTTAGTTGGGAAAATTCTTTAACGGTCTGTATTTTTTTTGGGTCTGGTTCAATTGCTCGTTGACTTACTATATGCTCAAGAAATATTACTTTTTCTTGCAGAAATTTAACCTTATCTCGCTGGAGTACCATATTCGCTGATCTTAACCGATCAAAAAGTAACCTAACTTTACGGTCATGATCTACTTGATCTTTTGCATAAATAATAATATCATCTAAATACACTAACATCTTAACATTTAATAAACCTCTTAATATGAGATCCATTTGTTGTTGGAATGTAGCAGGTGCATTTTTAAAACCTTCGAGCATCCATCTGTATGAGTAATGTTCATGGGGTGTCGTGAATTCTGTTTCATATTTATTATGTTTAGCCATAGGAATTTGTTGAAATCCACTTGCTAAGTCAAAAACTGAAAAATATACGGATCCTCCTAACTGATTTTTAATATCTGCGATCTTAGGCAAAGGATATGCATCACCAATGGTCTTTTTATTAAGTTCTGGAAAATCGATCACTACCCTCTATCTTGGATTACCATGGCTATCAGGTTTTTTAGGAACAATCCAGAGGGGTAAATTAAACGGTGATGATGAGTTCTCGATTACTCGATCATTAAGTTTTTTTGCTACCGACTCGTCTAAAACTTTCTTATGTACCGGTGGGTGACGATATTGTTTATTGTTAATAGGAATGTTATTTTCCGTCGGAATTTTATGCGCAACAAGATTAGTACAGGCTTAGGGGTCTCCTGGTAACAAGAAGATGTCTGGAAATCAGGATACAAGTTGATGAATTAGGTACCGTTCTTCCAGGTTTAGATGACCGGTACGCATAAGTTCTTTTAGATTTCTTATTCTATTTGTTTTGTTTTTGATAAGTGGTCTTTTATATTCACAACTAGTTTCGGGATCAAATTCAGGTGCAATTCATTCGAAGGGTAGAATTTCTCTTGGATCTAATTCAATCGTAATATCATTTTCATTAGTATCTATCGCCATAATTTTACAGTCACCATTCTTATTTTTTACTTTTCCTTCGCCTAAATATACGTCATCACGCCCTAGGTCCACTCGTGGTAAGTATCCCTCAGTGAAATTGGTATTAATTAAATACATTCTTTCTATTTGACGTTTTCGAGCCTTGATCGTATATTTAGTTGGTTTATTAATATTTTTTTGTTACTCATTAAGATAAATTGTTCCATAGTAGGAGTATTCTTACTATGTTCAATGGCATGAGGTTAAAGTGTACCTGGATCGTTTAATTCATTATTTTTACTGTGTATCTCACTTTTATAAGTTTCATCATCAGTAGGGTTCATAATATTATCACCCCTTTGTGATAAAATCAATTTGTCAAATTCATCTCGAAAATGAGAATCAGTTTTGATGTCTACAAATTTTTTCGTATTTAGGTATGTGTGATGTCTCGGGACAGCCTACGGTGTATTCATCATAAAATTTTCGTTGGTCAATTTTATCCCAAAGGCACGATGTCTTTTTGTGCGTATTAAGGGTGGTAGCTGAAATTTGACTTTCTTGTGCTTGTTTCTTAAGTTTTATTGCTTTTTGTTTTTTTTTCATCCCTGTCCAATCGCTCTATTTCTTCAAGAGTTTTTAAAAAAAAATGGGATCTATTACATCATCATCTAATACTATGGCATCGTGATAATACGATAGCGTAGCTCGTCGTTCTTTACAAAAGTTTCGAACGAATAAGCCACCATTTTTGATCAGATAATCGTTAGGGATCACATGAAAAATTAAGGGTTTTCCTTGTACAGTCATATGCGTTGCTCCTTTAGTTAAAACCAGGTGGGGTGTCATTCCGGTAAGATTAATTATTTTAAGGTTTGTGGCAGCACCATTATCGAGTATGCGTGTGATAAAACGATTTTTCCCTTCTGGGATTGACAACCTTATGCTTGTAGGCTCGCCGTCTACGCCAAGTCCCTGGCCCGTACCGATGTGGACAGTTTCGATTTCGCTGCTATGTTCATGACTTGCGCTAAATTATTCAGTATAGGGGTTGAATTCAGTCTTTGGGGTCTAATGCCATGTCTTTAATAAAGGTCATCACATGCGCGTTATAGGTATTGCCTTTATTTTCCATCAAGGCATTTCAGCACTGTTCAACAGTAGATTTATATAATCATAATATTCACCAACCGATTGACCTTGTCGTTGGCGCACTTTCTGCAGCTGAGTTTGATAATGAGCAACGATCTTCCCTGTTTCATATCTTCTTTTTTTTTGTGTTATAAATGCCTCGAGATTTTTGAATTCTTAGCCACTTACGCTTATGCGTGCAGCCCCTCGCAAATTTTGTAACACCACATTTTTCTATAAATATTTTTGATCATCTCTGACCTAGCTTTCTCCGTTTCTAATATCTTGTACATAATCGTACAGTGAAATATTTTTCTCATCGAATATAGGAATAGATTTGATCGCATGCTCAAATTAGAAGTTGGCGTTAAGAGACTCCATCAGCGCTTTAGCTACAGTCATATCAGCGTCATCGTTTTCATTGACCATTTTCTGATATTTTGACCAGTTTGCTTCATGTTCGTTTTTTCCGTTTTTTTCATTTATTTTTATCTTATGTTATATGAGTGACTAAAAAAAATGATTATACTGTTATTTTCTTTTGTTTATTTGTTTCCAAAAAACATTTTATTTAAATCTTGACGTTTATCGCAGAGGACATAAGTAATGAAGAAATAATTGACTATATGTTTATATGTATTTATATGTACATTTCTCTATTGTGAATTTTTCTTTGGCGCATGCGTGTGCAGTGAGTTTGCTTTAATTTTTATAGATATACGCCTGACGACGGAACGATAAGTGTACTATGTGTATGCCCAGAAACTAAAGTGAGAGAGTGTAATCAAGCGCGCTTATATGATATCATCTAATTTAAGCAAGGGAGTGTACGGCGCAAGGATTTCTTATAAGGCCTGTGCAGCTATATATCCTAATTGCTACGCCACCGTAATGTAGCGCGTGATTTAAAGGAGGTTTCAAATGTGCTATCACTGTATTTACTCTCGGCCACTGACTAGCATATGTATTGTTGACAGTGTATGTATCTGTGTTTGTATTTCTACGCATTTGTGCGAGTATTTGATAATGCTAGCACTGATGCCGTTATGCCAATTATACTGTATGTATCAATACAGTACCCACATGCTTGCTCATACAAGGTGTTTGGTGATGTTTCTTTTTTTTAATTTATTTACTATGGTTATACATTACTAAAATATATGCACTGCGACCTAATACAGGATAAAATTGAGTGATCTGTACGTGCAACGTGAAATTTATGTACTTATCAATTATGAATAAGACAAGGTGAAATTATAAGAAGCCTCGAATTATTTATTAGTGAATTTCTAGACTTTATTATTATTTTCCCTTATTTTAATTTTAAAAGTTCCTTTTCCCCAAAGATGATCAAATTGTCACATTGTTTGTTGATTTCTGCTTTAAAATTATTAATTTTACTTTTTTGATAAGTCAGTATTTAGTTTGTTAA